ACAGAGCGGGGGCGCCGGGACCCCGGCGCCCGGGCGGAATGCAGCCGCAGACCAGACCGAGGCCAAGTTTCCACGTAGTTGCGAGAGCCCGAAAACTGTCACGTGCACGTCGCCGCTGGGTGGGAGGGGGTGTTTGTCATCGTGTTCAAAAGGGGCGTTTCGGTGTCTCACATCATGCATGTGAGGGCTCCAATGGGGTGGCTCTCGGCCGCCTTTGAAAAACGAGTGCTTCGCGCCCGTTGCCTCGAGGGACGGGGCGCACACTCCTGCCCCAGCCTTGGCCGTCAGCCAACTCGCTCCTCTCAGTGGTCGGGAGGCCCAGCGTGGTCGCTAACGGCCTCTGTGGCGTCCCTCCTTCCCTCGGTCTCCCTCCAGCCCTAAGCGGCCCAGGCGCCCACTTCCGGCCACCTCGGCCATGGACGAACGCTGATACTCACTGTGTGCTCGCCCCTCCACTCTGGGGGCGCTGGGGGTTCTGGAGTGGGGCGGGCAGCGGGGCCCCGGGCTTCTTAACGCTCACGGCAGTGTTCATGTCGAGTCCACCGCTCCCCGCCGGCCGCAACAGGCAAGGAACCCAGCGAGGTCTTGGTCTACTTCTCCTACCTCCTGGAAAGACAATGAAGACCCAAAGAGTTGGGGGACAGTTAGGGCCACCCCAGGCTGTCACATCCCCCAACGGTTCTGGGCAACACACCTACTTCCACCCTCCACTCGGTTGGGCCTTTCACAGCTTCTCTGGGACCGGGATCCCACCCAACCAGAGAGAGAAGCTCTCTGCCCTGGGCGAGGCCGCGGCCTACACCGCCTCCTGGTGGCCCTCACGTCCTTCTGGGGAGCCAGGCGCCCCTCTTGGGGGAGGAAGAGACCATGGAGCTTCCGCCAGAGGAGCGGTGTTGTTTTTAAAAAGAGGCAGAGAGGCCTTCCTAACGCAGCGACGCGCCTGAGACACCCACCCCACGTGCGTTCCTGTGAGTCTAGACGTGGTCTCCCGGTCTCATCTAGTGGTCTCCTTGATTCTAGAATCTACCGCCTCCCATGTCGCCTGTGCATTCACCTTCCTCAAATACATTGCATCACTTCCCGTCCAAAGGCCTCCAGCGGCACCCGGTTGCCAGCTAGAGACTCCATGAGTAACCCAGCAATTGAGACTCAAGTTTCATCCTACCCTTCCCACCGACCTCCTTGTAGGAACACGAAATTCCCATGGTTCCGAATCTTCGGGAACTTTTTAAAAAATCTTGATATCGGAGTCCTACTCCCAAGCAGTCTGATTTAATTGGTAGGGGGTATGTCAGGGGCAGCCGGGTTTTCAAAGCTGCCCAGGTGATTATGACAGGTAGCAAGGCTTGGGAACCACTGCCAACTTCCAAATGGTCCAGGCTGCTGGCTATTTACCAGACGTCGATGGTCCTTCAACTTGCAGGGGTCTTTACGTGCCCTTCTTGGGATCCATGGCCCAACATCGCCCAATTCTGTTAGTATTATGGTTTGGATGTGAGGTGCACCACCACCCACCACCCATCACCAAAAAAAAAAAAAAAAAAATCATGTTAGACAATTCTGGAATGTTCACGGGTGAAACGACTAGATGATGAGAGCTGTCGCCTCTCCAGTGGATTCATTCATTTGATGGATTAAGAATTAGCACGGATTACTGGGTGGTGGCTGGACGCAGGTGGGGCATGGCTGAAGGATGTAGGTGGCTGGGGGCTGCCTCTGGGGTTCCTTTCTCTTGTCCCTCAGCTCTCGCTCACTCTGTTTCCAGGCTGCGGTGAGCCCAACTGCGTGCCTCCACCACGTTCTTCCGCCATGTTTCTCCTCACCTGGGTCCAGAGCAGTGGAGTCCCCGCACCGTGGACTGAAACCGCAAGCCCCAAATAAACTTTTCCTCCTCAAAGTTGTTCTTGTCTGCTATTTTGATCACAGCGAGGAAAGGCTGGCTGACATGGAGAGGACCCACGCCCCCTCGCTTAGTACTGCCATTTCCCTGGCAGCTGCCTTGAGTCTCCACATCCAGAAGGCCTAGCCAGCCTCTGACGTCAGGGGGGCAAGGCGAGGAGGGATTGGCGAGTGAGCCGTGGTGAAGAAGTGCCACTACCCTGGCTGGGGCTTTTTAAGCATCTCAGGAGCTTGTCACACTTTCCCTTCTCGTGTCTTTCACCACTGTCCTCGAAACAGTCGTATCGGGGTGCTGAGTTTTGTTTTGTTTCACGAGGTCACAAATGGAACCCAGGACCTTGCATTTATTAGGCCTGCGCTCAACCACTGAGCCATCACCCCTGTTGGCTGTGCCTTCCTTTTAAATTTGTTCATTCTTCTTCTTTTATTTTTTCATTTTTATCACAATTATACATCGGTACAGTTAACAGAGCAGTGCCCTCGCTCCCACCTGACTCTCCCAGAAGCAGTCACTTTTATGTCTTTGAGCTGATTATTTTAAAAATCAGGTTTGCTTACTATTTGTTGTTGGAAGCCTTTCTCCCCGTGTTATACATCAAGTAAATTTTTTGAGATTGTTTTCCTATATGAAAACCTCCACCCTTAGTTCATAACCCGCTTGAATCAAACTGTGAAATATGATGTATTAAGAACTGTGTAATGTTTTGAACGACCAACAATAAAAATATATATATATATATATATTTTATTTAGAGATAGGGCATCTTTCTAAATTTCTGAGGCTGCCTATGAACTCTCCATCCTCCTGTCTCAGCCTCCTGAGCCACTGGGATTACAGGCATGTGCCACCATGCCTAGCTGAAACTGTGAGACTAAATGAATCTTTCCTCCCAGGCATGGTGGTGCATGCCTGTAATCCCAGCATCTGGGAAACTGAGGGAGGAGGATCAAGGGTTCAAAGCCAGCCTCAGCAACTAAGTGAAGACCTAAACAACTCAGCAAGACCCTGTCTCCCAAAAAAAGACTGGAGATGCTCAGTAGTTAAGAGCCCTTGGATTCAATCCCCAGTACAAATAAATAAATGAATAAAAAAAAAACCCTCCACCCTTGATATATTAGTTTGTCTAGGTATGAAGTTCTAGGATGGAAATCATTTTCCTTCAGAATTTTGAAGCTCTTGATCCAGTGAGCTCTAAATTCCAGGACTGTTGTTGAGAATTCCAAATACATTCCATCACCAGTCTTCATTGGACCTCTTTTTGTTTTAATCTTTCAAAGACGGAAGAATCTTCTTTTTCTCCTCAATGTTTTGAAATGACAAATGATGTGCTTGGATATTGGTATATTTGTGCATTCTACTTGGTACCCGGTGGGTTCTTTGTCTTTATCACTCAAGCTCTTCAATCTGGGAAATATGATCTTAAACTATTTTGTTAATTGGTTTTTTCTCCTTTATTTTTCTTGTTTTCTTTTTTTGAAATATTATTTAGATATGAGGCTTCCAATATTGGTCTCTGTGATAGTGTCCCTTAATTTTCAAATCAATGCTAGTTTCCATATTTTTAAAAAGTTTTATTTGAATTAGTTTCTGGGAAATTTCCTCAATTTTATATTACAAGTCTTTTTTTATATCAAACTTTTACTTTTTCCAAGAATTCTTTTTGAATTCTTCCTTTTTTGGAGTATCCCATTTTCTTTTTTATGATTATGCACATAATCCCTGCAACTCTTAATGGTGGATTTTTTGGTTTTGCCTGCTGCAAAGGCTTTATGCTTCAGGATCCTTTTACTGTTTATGTTTTTGTTTTGTTTCCCTTGTTAAAGATTTTCTTCAGATGCTTTTCTGCTTATGAGTAAGACTATAGAGTGGGCCGGGGCTGTATCTCAGTGGCAGAGCGCTTGCCTTGCATTTATGAGGCACTGGGTTTGATCCTTTAACACCACATTAAAAAAATAAACAAATAAAATAAAGGCATGCTGTCCAACTACAAAAAATAAAAATTAAAAAAGACTAGGGAGTAAGATATCCATCTGTAGAGAACAGATTGAATAAACTGTGGCATCCACACATTGGGAAATTATACAGCTATAGAAAGAAATAGGAAGTATCTCTACATAACACTATGGACTGATGGCCAGGAAATATTAAATGGGAGAAATCTAAGTGGGAATTGTGTTTATATTACTCTGCTTTTAGGGTAATACAAAGAGGTAAATAGTTTTATGTATTTATTTCTATTTTCAAAAAGACTGAATGGAAAGAAAACCAAATAACATACATGGCTACTTATAAGGAGAAACAGGGTAAAGAAGACAGTGGGAAGCTAGGTTTCTTTAAATATGCCTTGTTTTGTAGTTTTAGTATATCAAGTGGATAGCATATCTCCACAAAAATTCTTTTATGTAACTTTAAAACACAGTATTTTGAATAATGGAATTTACCATAAGGAATACAAATTTAAGCAAACCAACAAAAAGATCTTGAACTCAATAGTTATTGTTACTAAGTAATTTTGGCATGTTATTTTAAAACATTTATTTATGTGTAAATTATTTTTATGTGTAAACTAGAATAAGAAAAAAAAGAAATACAAATATAAATCAAAGATGGTAAAAATTTTTCTGAATTCTGAAAACTGAATTGGAACTATCAATAGAACTCATTACTTTCTAGTTCTATTTGTTCTCTCCAACTTGGATGTGACATACTATTTCTAGGTTTGATAATAAAGTGCACCCCTGGTACCCAGGAGGTAATCTCCAAACATTTTTCCTCTCTACAAGAAACCAGGACTCTGTAAAGAAAATCACTGGTTCCAAATCTGAGGCAGAAATGTACAAGTTGCTGGAATATTTAGTTTTTCCAGAAAACAAAGAAGTCACCAAAGACTAATAGGGTTGTGTAAAAGGATCCTACAACCAACTGAAAAGGACTTCCACTACTCAAAAGATGGAAAAACAAAGTTGAAGGTGGATCTCCTTAAAATCAAAGAGATTAGAAGAGGAAAGGGACCAAGGAGTGGGAGGCAGGGAGGGAGAGGGGAAGTGCTAGGGAGTGATATTGGCCAAAGTATAGTGTTATATTGTGTGCATGAAAGAATATGTAACAACAAATCCCACCAATATGTTTAACTATTATGCAGTAATTAAAAATGTGGGAAAAAAATGAAGAAGAAGAAGAAGAGGAGGAGGAGGAGGAGGAGAGGAAGAAGAGGAGGAAGAAGAAGAAGAAGAAGAAGAAGAGGAGGAGGAGGAGAAAGGAGGAGGAGGAGGAGAAGGAGGAAGGAGGAGGAGGAGGAGGAAGAAGGAGGAGGAGGAGGAGGAGGGAGAAGGAGGAAGAAGAAAGGGGAAGGGGAAGGGGAAGGGGACAGGATGGGCATGGTAGCACATACCTGCCTGCAGTCCCAGATACTCAGAAGGCTGAGGCAGGAGGATCATTTGAGCTCATGAGTTCAAGATCCACCTGAGCAACATAGTAAGACCCTCATCTCAAAAATAAATAAAATAAAGGACATGTTATTGTATCACAAATTTAGTTTTAAAAAGAGTTTGAGAATTATGGTTCAATATAAATAGTTTTCTCTGCAATCATTTCCATTTTATTTTATGCATTTAAAAATATCCTGCGCAGGGGTCTGTCAGATTGCTAAAGGGGTACATGACACATAGAAGGTTAAGAATCCCTGTTTTTGATCTTTCTATCAGTTCAGAGGATACAAGGAGAAATACATGTTAAAATGACAAAATGAAGATGCAGCCAACCAAATCCACTATGTGAACATTTCACAGGGAAAATGATTTGTTTTTTTTTCACCAAATAAATGGAATTTTTTTAAAAAACTAGGGAGCGGAGGAGGGATGAGTAACTCATAATGGGAGTATAAGAGATTTAAATGACATATCAATTAAATACAGCACATTAGCCCTGAGCCCTGAGTCTAACAATCCAACTATAAAAATACATTTCTAAGACAATCTAGAAAATAATAACACAGGTGCTTTGATGATATTAAGAAATAATTGTTAATTTGTTGTGTATGATAAGCATTGTGCTTTTGTTTTATAAAGTTTTTTTCCTATCAGAAATAAATACTTGATATCTCTCTCTTTAAAAAAAAATTCAATGATTTGGTGTATGGTATTTGCTTTAAAATACTCAATCAAAACAAACAAATCAAAAAGGTGGTTGTATAGATAAAACAAGATAATGTTGAAGCTGGGTAGTAGTAGGTCTGTGGAAGTTCATTATAGCATAGTCCCCATCCCCATCCACATTTTGTTTTTTACATTTTCAGTTACCTGCAGTCAATCACAATCTGAAAATGTTAAAAGTAAAATTCCAGAAATAGATTTAAATTGTGCACCGTTCCAAGTAGCGTGATGAAATCTCAAATCATCCCACTCCATCCAGCCCAGAATATGAATCATCCCTCCTTCCACACAATACCAGTACTTGCCCATTAGTCACTTAGTAGCTGTCTTAGTTATCAGATTGACTGTCACTGTATTCTATGCTTGTGTTCAGGTAACTCTATTTTTTTTTAACTTTTTATTTGTTATTTTTAGTTACACATGACAGTAGAATGTATTTTGAAATCATACATACATGAAGTATAACTTCCTATTCTTTTGATTGTACATGATATGGAGTTATACTGGTCATACATTCATATATGAACATAGGAAGGTAACGTCAAATTCATTCTCCTGTCTTTCCTATTCCCACTCTTCCTCTCTTCCCTTCATTCCCCTTTATCTAATCCAAAGTACTTCTATTCTTCCCTCTCCCCCTTATTGTATGTTAGCCTCCACATATCAGAGAGAACATTCAACCTATGGTTTTTGGGATTGGCTTATTTCACATAGTGTGATGGTCTCCAGTTCCATCCATTTACCTGAAAATGCCATAATTTCATTCTTCTTTTTGGCTGAATTATATTCATTGAGTATGTATACCGTATTTTTAATCCCTTTATCTGTTGAAGAGCACCTAGGTTG